AGCTCATCATGATTACTATGAATACAAATACATTTCTCTAGAATCCATTTCTGAAGAGTTTATTTTCCGAGATCTCCAGCTTGCAATCTTTAGACTCATGCAGAGGTCAATATTTTCTGCATTGGAAATGGATGACATTCCACAGAACATTCCATCTGCAACTCATTTAGGTTATAATTCCTGATGGAACCAATGGCATTCTATGGTTTATGTGACTCATCAGCTTGTTGTGAGAAACCACCACAAAGCTCCTTTGGTGGGCAAAGCCTGCAGCTTGATGAACAGGCCTGGTGGTAAGTATTCATCGCGTCATTTCCCAGCGTCATCCCTAAAGACCTGATCCTCTACTGCTATGTGGGGAACAAAGAGTATGACTCCGAGCATGATAAAATTGGTTCTCATATTCTGTGCCCTTAAGAACATTCCTCTTGGTTTTCCACATTGGACGACTTCCCTTTGGCTGTACTAATTATGGTCTTTTACATCTGCAATAAGTCACCATTAGGAATAGCACTGCATGCTAAAAATGTTTTGACAAAAAGTGACTGATTTGTTTTCTTGCCACAGACAAGTTCCTGCAGTTTTGTAACAAACAGTAAAACAAGCACATCATTAGTACTGAGTGCACTGAGACACGAAATCAGCACCTTCAACCTCGTTTCCAATGTCCTTTGGGTGCAGTGCTTTCTAATCCTGCCAACAAAGTAGAAGCATGTAGGGAACTGTTTTTGTTTGTTTTTGTTTTTTTTTAATAAAATACTAATGCCTGAACCCTAGCTTTAGGACCAGGTTCCACACTTCTGATGTACATACTTGCCCTACAGAAGTAGAAGATGTTGTAATTCCCAAACTGGTTTGGAGTCTGAACAGGATGTTAATTTGTGACTGTAAGCAGAACTTGAGAAAAATTAAAACTTGGGACTTTGAGGAAAGAAGCAGTGGTTTTATTTTTATTATTTTGCCCATCCTAGGGCTTGAACTCTGGCTGGATTCTGTCACTGAGCTCCTGTTGCTCAAGGCTAGCACTCTAACACTTGGAGCCACAGTGCCAATTCCAGCTTTTTCTGTGATTAACTGGAAGTAACAGTCTCATGGACTTTCATGCCAAACTGGCTTCCACTCGGGATCCTCAGATCTCAGCCTACTGAGTAGCTAGGGTTACAGGCATGAGCTACTGGCACCCAGCTAAGAAGCATTATTTTTAGGATGAGATTTCCAGTATTTTCACTTCCCCACTGACAGTTTGCAATTCAAACCTTTTAGTTTTTGTTAGTCTAATAGGTATAAGGTAATTCAAAGTGCTGTTTTAATTGACACTTCTCTATTTCTAAAGATTCTTAGCATCTTTTATGTATTCCATTTGCCCTCTCTTCTGTAAATTGCTTCTTCACACCATCTGCTTTTTATTCCTTGGAGGTTAATATCCCGCTTTGTTATTTCTAAGATTTTCTAATATATTCCACTTACTAATACCTTGTCAACTTAACATGGCAAATCTTTGTCATTTCAATACTTATCTATTCTCTTGGTATTTTTTGCTGAATGGAAATCTTTATTTTTGATGACTCAAATTCAACCAACTTTTTGTATGTTTAGGATTTGTGTTTTTTTCCTTTTTTCCCACCTCATTTTATGATTTTTAAATTGTATTTCAGAAATCTTCCCCTCTTCTTGGGTCATAAAGAGATAGCCACACATTGTATTCTATTAACTCTAAGATTGTCTTTCACTTTTAGTTCTTTAACTCATCTGGAACAGACCCCACTTAGGTGATACTTGATAGAAAGTAGTCTATTTTCTTCTACAGGCTACAAAACTGGGGATCTTTGTGATATCCTCACGAATTCTTTAGTAAGCCATTCCTTGAGCGGTTGATACCTTTAGCAGAGAAAGGTGAGAGAGTCATGTGCTCAGGTGAGAACTAATAGAATGACTGAATTTTTGATATTACATCTAAAGAGCAGGAAACCAGACTGTTAGCCCTTGTAGCCTGTCCCAGTGCCTCCAAATTAGGAAAAAACAGAGGATACAGCACTGGAAAATTGTAGTAGAAGCAGTACTTCCTCCTACCCATTTACATAGATGTTCCCAAAGGAGATAACATTTAAATAAGGAGGTGAGAAATGCTGGGAAACAGGAAGTGAAGTTGGTTTTAAAACTGTTTTGAAATGAAATCTGGCACCCATGGATTGGAAGCAAACAAGAAGTTTGTTAAATTTTCAAGGTATTTATATTTCAAAAGTCTCACTTATGCAGGGCAGGTGCATAGTTGTTGGCCAAACAGTATACTGGGGCACACATACATTGTTAATTGGTCACTAAAATTTATTTTCTTTCCTTGAATGTATGTCTCACTGGTCATATAAAATAACACATTTCTCTTTGTAGTTAGTCTTTTAGTAAAGTTTTAGATTTTCTTCAGAGTTTGGGGAATTATTTATTTATTTGTTTGATGTTAGTTTTTACAGCCATTCTGAATAGTATGCAATTTTTAATTGAAGTTTATAGTTTTCACCATTAATATGTTAACTTTTATTTGGCAACATTGTTGGGAATATTCTAATGTGTGTCTCTTGTTTAATTGTTTTATTTCAATATAGAAAGTCACACTACTTACAATCTTTCTTGAGTTCTTTCTCTTCTTTTGGAATAGTAATAGTCCTTTTTTATTTTTCATATTTCACAGCATTGCCCAAGGCTTCAAATCCTATGTTACACAATTGTTATGATGAAATAAAGAATTCTTGTTTTATTTCCCACCTTAAAGGAAATACTCAAGCATTTTGTGAACATCTTACTCCTTTTACTTGATTCCTTTTTCCAGAATCTGTATAGATAGTATTTTTTCTACATGAAAATGAAACAAAAGTAGAGACTGCTAGACCATGTAGCCTTTCTCAACACCTCCACATTAGGAAAAACCAGAGGATATAGCACAGGAAATTGTAATAGAAGCAGTGCTTCCTTCTACATAAGGGCTCCATGATAAAACAGAAAAGCATCAAATACCTGACATTCTATATAACTAACCGAGGACATTTACAGGCAAATATCACACCCAAAATTTATTTGGATAACCCAAGAGAGCTCAACTATGTCCAATCATTACCCTAGTGTTGTGCAGAATGACTGAGGAAGGCATCATTAAAATATAGCACCAATTCTCCTCCAAGCATACCGAGGAGCCCCAAGACAATGGTATAAAACTGGGGCTGCTGGCATGGTTTGGATGTTTTTCTAGGCAAGGCAGGTCAGTTGATAAACCTGTGTCTACATGAGATGAGGAGGAAATTGCTAAAGAAAGATGATAGATCATCAACAGTGTGAGGATGGGGCAGCCTACTCTCCTTCTCTTTTATAAAAATAAGTAAGTTGCCTACTTTAGGTGACACACTGGGCGAGAGGATCCTGGAACCTGAAGACTGAGAATGACCCACGGGGAGCAATCACAGGGGGTAAATTGTGCAAGAGGTTAAACTGAAGGTGGACCTTCCATGGATTTCTAGGAGGGAGGAGCATAATGGCCAATTAGTTTTGGCTATAGAACAACCATCGAAATATTCTAAATCATGTATCTACTAGGAAAAGACTTCAGTCTCTTCTATACTGAATTACTTCACTCTAAAAAAAAGTCACAATCATAAAGTATATCAGAAATTATTGTTTGAGTATGCTGGTTGTAGGGTTTGAACTCAGGACCTGGGCTTTTGTACTCAAAGCTGTCTCTCTACCATTTTTGACTCTTTTTTTTGTAGTTTATTGTACTTTCCTGCCTGGCCTGGCTTCACACCTCAATCATCAGATGCTTTTTCTAAGTAGCTAGGCTGCCAGAAGTTAGCCACTGGCACCCAGCTTAGAAATTATTTTTATGAGTACTTGCCATATTAATTGTCAAGTAGAAATCAATGAATGAGACAATTCTATATCCATTTCCTATTCTGTCTATTCTCCAGGATGTTTCAACAGTGTCAAACCATCATAGGCAATATCAGAGACTTGTCACCATCTAACCTTCAGGTTTCATTTTAATCCAACTGTTACCTCTCTTCTTTTCCAAGTATCAGGTCCTTTTGATACCACCTACTGGTGCTCTCTCTGCTAATCCTCATGCTGTCTTGGCTCTCTGAGCATGTATATGTTCCTCTGCCATGTCCTAGTGCAGGTAATGTCATGGTATAGTCACAGAGATCCTTTTCCTTGCTCAGTATTTCTTCTCTACTTTTGCTCTAGGCTGGTACACCAGCCTAGGAGGAACTCCAGGGATTTGTAAGTTTTTCCATATGCTGTCCATGGAAAAGAGAACAATATACCCTCAGCAATCAGATGCTCCATATTTCTAGGGAAGTTTGATCACTCAGCATTTCTGAATTTGGCCTGGGGAAAAGGCAGGGTAGAGTCAGTTCTCAAAAACTTACCAGTATCTCTATTCTCAAGGTCTTTCCATCACTAATTCTCTTTATTTTTTCTCAGTTTGGGAATGTTTATCTAATCCGTTGAGTATGAGGATTAGGACCAAAAATGGATCATACTCTATATATACCCTTAGTCTCTCTGTCTCTGTCTCTGTCTTTTGTTTGGGCATGGGTATGGGTGTATGCATGGATGTTTTCCAATGGCTCTGCTTTTTAAACTTTTAAACATTGAAATTGCCTATAGTATTGTTCCAGGCCATTCTTTCCTCAATACAAATCAAACTACTCCCTAATAAAATTTCTCAAGAGATTTGGGTGCACTGATTTTCATTAATCGTTTTCTTTCTTTTGTAAGGTCCAAGACCAGCAATTGAACTCAGTACCTGCTGCCGTTGCTCATTGGCTCATACTTTATTACCTGAGCCATCCTTCTAAGCCCTCTTTAATCACTTTCTAAAGTTTGGTTTGGCCTTTGCCCAAGAAAGGAGAACTTTTATTTATTTAATCAAGCTAAGATGAAGTTGGTCCTTAAGATAACAGTTTTGATCCGAACCCTGTTACTTATTTCAGGTTTGTTAGAGCCAAGTATCAGGTGTTGCATAATAACTGTTTATTGAACTAACCAGTAGGACAAGCTGAAAACAGTAGAAGATCACTGCCCTGAGACTCTATCTCATGATTCAGAGCCAAGATAACCCAAGATACGAGTACTGATACCAATAAAGGCTTATCACAAATAAACACATTCATTTTCCCTACCCAATGGTAACTGACCAGGCTCGTCTCTTTGATACTCCAGAACCTGCGTGGCTATACTTGGGGAGAATGCAAGCTCAAGGATAGATTTAAGTAGTCTTGTGATGTTAAATCTTCCTTTTGTTGCAGACAGGGATATATGGTTAGCAGTTGGTACCCCCACACAATTGGCTGAGGAGACTATGAATTTTAAATATTTGAACATTAGCTTCTCCTCCCCCTCCCCACCCCAGTCTGGTTGTGGAACACAGAGGAAACAAGCTTTGTTACTTAGTTCTAGGTTTTGCTACAGGTTCTAGGTGAGCTGAAAATCCAGGGTCCACAGCCCAGACACATCTGAAGTAGGAAAAGTATTGGGGATCATTGACAATCACTAACTTGACCTGTAATTTTGTAGGTATTGTGTAACCTCTTTGCTCCTTTACTTCTAGCCATAAGAAAAACCTGACACATTTTTATTTTTATTTATTACTTGTCTGAACTTTCACTTATCAAACAATTACAAGTTTGCATTTACCAAGTACATAGACTTTTGGAATGTCTTACATCTACGGCACACAGTAGAGGGCTTTGTGGAACACACTGCCAATGAGCATTTTCTCATGGTACACAGAAGCCACTGAGCTGCCTTGAAGCACAGAGCCATTATTGGCATACACTGTGTTCACTGTGGGCTTATCAGACAATACGTTCTGGATGCGCAGTACCTGTTAAGAGGAATGTCACTCATTAGTAGAGTATATGAACAGCTATCTAGTGATTTCTTCCTTCCCAAATGTTTCAGAATAAACATAATTTCCAAGAAATCAGTAAGCTAAGTTCTATACATCTTAAGTAATTTTTTTCTTTATTACGCTCAGTTGAGTTAAATTCCAGTTATCTTGTATTTCCATTATGTGAATGGCGGCATCGAATATGTCAGCTACATTTGAATGTATTATGAAAGTATTATGTCCTAAAGAGCTATGCAAATTGTTCACCAGAAAGCATAAAATCTTTTCTGATAGTTCAGGCACCTTATAGGAGATTAGATCCCAAGCTGATGGTGGTTTTCCAGCTGTGGGGATGTTATTGCTTTATGCCCTACACAAGGGGCGGGTACATTTCCTTAAAACAGATAATGTGTCTGGGATTTAGTAAGAAAGTTTCATCTGTCACTTGTTGGCTGAGAATAGCTAGCTTACCAATCTACAGATTTGAAGGTCTAGTTAAACTTATATATATACATATATACACATATATTATATACACAGATGTGTATATAATATATGTATATAATATATAATACATATATAATATATATGCTCTTTCTAAGAAGCAGTTAATATGTTAATTTTTTAAAACTGAAGTAACAATAGCAATATTCTTCAGCAGAAATAACTGTTCTGCTTTAATTTCCGGTCTAGCATATGAATCTCAGTTTCCCAACTCTGAAAACATGTATTCAAATGTATCTTTCTTTAAAGCATCCCTCTTTAGCCAGATCAAGTCTGATCTCTGTTTAATATAAGGCTATTCCCATCCCTTCACAGCAATTTTTACCTTCTTTGTCCAGCTATGCCATTTTTCCTATAGAGCTTATCATTTCAAACACTATATGCTTTCTTTCTTTCTTTTTTTTTTTTGCCAGTCATGGTGCCTGAACTCTGGGCCTGGGCACTGTCCCTCAGCTCTTCAGCTCAAGGCTACTGCTCTACCACTTGAGCCACAGCACCACTTCCAGCTTTTTCTGCTTATGTAGTGCTGAGGAATCGAACCCAGGGCCTCATGAATGCAAGGCAAGCACTCTACCACTGAGCCACCTTCCCACCCCTATATGCTTTATTTCTTATAGTTACTGCTCAGGGTCTGTCCTTTTACTCTACTTTATCCTTACTTCTACTCTAAAGAGCAGAAATCTTTGTATATGTATTATTTTTTTGATATAGCCTGAGCAATTAGAAAAACATCTGGCTGTTTGGCAGATGTTCAGTAAATATTTGCATATATACATCTCTCTGGGGGAATGTGTGCTAAGATTTGGTGACTGTATTTACTAGAATATCTTTTTTATTTTTAAACTCAATGCCATAGAAAATGCAATGTCTTTTAATGTTTTGAATTCCATAGAAAATGTGACAGCTTATGTTATTGTTTTAGAAGATCTATTTAAAATAACGAAAATAAAATCTGGTAAGAGGATATGTTTTTCAATGCCACCATATCTGCAGGCCAAAAGTCATTTGTTTTGAGACTACAATCATTTAAACTCTTTTACTAAAGCTTTATATTAGATAGTGAAAATGAAGATGGTGCCATAGGAGTGTCTCTGCTCAAAGCTTACTTTCTGGTCATAAATATAATAAAATAATATCAACCAATGAATGAATAGCCAGGTCATGTTTTCTCCTTACTACCAATAACAAATAAATCCCTTATACATCTGAGACATATTGTCTGGCACTAATATGACATTGGCACTTGGTAGCCTGAAGGGCTAAAGAATCACATCCTCCTATTCTGTCAATATCCCCACTTTTTACACGCAGAATCTGTTCACTTCTGGAACATCAAATGTGACCCACCTACATCTCACCCCCAATAAATTGGTTTTTTGCACCTTTTCCTATGAGTGGAGAAAAATATAAACACTTACTTCTGACCCTGGAGGATCCTCAGGGTTATAGAACAAAATTTTCATGCCATTTGGATGGCATCCTGCCAAGATATCTCCCGTAGCAGGATCGACATTCAAGTTATCTGGTAAGGTGCCCAATTGTATCCTCTTCCAGCAAAGAAGACAAGGTGAAGAAGACATTGTCTCAGTGTTTTCCTCTGTTGTCCCCACATCCCACCACCTCTTCTCAGACTATGACTGTACTTTAAAAATACAAGCACAATCTCACCAGCTTGCTCTATAATACTCAAGGTCCCTTTATTAAGCAGCATATTGTTGGGTCAAGTATGGGACTATTGTAAAAGGCCTTGTGGTGTGGGCAAGCTGGGATACTTGTACCTTCAGTTGAGTTAAATTCCAGTTATCTTGTATTTCCATTATGTGAATGGCGGCATCAGATACATCAGCTACATAAACATACCTTCAATGCAAATAACATTTACACATGAGCAAATAGTAATGAGAATAGGACTCTGACTCTTGTTCTGGAGAAGGACTGTAAAAGTTTATACTAGATTGAAGTGCCACTGTGATGTTTTACTAAAACAGTATAAAAGAAGATAATGAAATAGTACTTTTAGAATTCTTGAAACATTTTAATTAAGCTTTGAAGATGACATATGACTATAAAGTAACAAAACTATTATTTTCAATGATATCTAGGCTGAATATTATTACTTAGAAGTTACACATTTTTGTATTTAAATTGTATGGTGGTAAATAGACTTCTTGGGGGCCAAAGGAATTTATATCTCCAAAAGTTAGTGCTAGAGAAGAAGTAGCAGGTGACATAATCAGTGGTTGTATTTTTTTAAAAGGAAGAACATTTAGGGATGTTTGGCACAGCAATCTCTTTATTATCTCAAATTTACATATTAATATTCATGGTATTTTTCTTTTGTAAAAACTTTCCATTCTTAAACATGTATAAGGAGTGTTTTTTAAATAATTCCATGTATTCAAGTGCACAATACATAAAACCTGAACTATGTAACTTGAGAGCAGAAATGGGAGGGGGAAATGACCTGGCAGCTGCATGATGTGCAGGTGGCACTTTTCCACATGTTCTCCATCATTGCCTGCAGATGGAGGCACTGCAAGACTAAAGCTGTTCACTGGCAGCCATACCTGAGCAGTACTCTTGCCTTGGAGACTGGACTGTGAGAGTCTCAAAGGCTGTTGAAATAAGTTCCCATTGTATAGAAGCCATCACTGATACTAGCCACCCCCCTCCCCAAGCTGGGCCTTACAGATCTTGAGAAAATGATCTTGAGAAGAGGTGACATTGATCAAGACGCATCATATTTACAAGCTGACTTATAGAATCATAACCTCTTTGTACAACTACTTAATCATAAAATCTTCTAAAAATCCATGCTATTTAAAATAACCATCAAGGAAAGATACAATCACAATGCCCAATCTAGGCCTCTATTTAGTTTAAGTGGTTAAATCCTTCTAGCCCCTAAGGGCAGAAATATTGCACATTTATCCCCCTGTTTAATGTATTAGGAAAGTGTGTTTCTACAGCTATATAAGAATTGGAGTAAGGGCCTTATTTTTTAGTCTCATCCCTTTTTCTAAAGGAATGGGCCTCTAAAGCACCAGAGAACGAATAGTTTACTATTACACATCTAGGGCTACCTCTGTCCATACCTGACTCACCCCCCCCCCCCCCATTCATATGGACTACTTAAGCCTAAGGAAGTAATTGCTCCTTGAAGGAAGGAATTCACAAAAACACCCAGGGAAACAGCTAACAAATGATTAGTAATTAATAATAATAAAGCATACTTCTGGTTCTGTGAGACTGTGATCCCGTTGGCAGACTTAAACCCTGTGGCTACCACTTTGATCTCTCTTGGGCTGTAGAAAAGAACGTAAGTCCAGCGAAGTTCCAAGATGATCTCAATGAATGTCATGGGGAAGCTGGTAAAATAATGGTCTCTTGTAGCATAGAATTCTTCTAGTCCAATAGCCACAATGTCATTCACACTACAGAGAGAGAGACAGACAGAGACAGAGAGAGAGACAAAGAGAAAGAGAGAGAATGGGAGAGAGAAATAGAAAGAACCCATGAGGTACCTGAATATCCTCACTGTTGTAAACTACATAGATCAAAATGTTCATCAGTTTCAAAAAGTAGACTTAGATAACAGAACCACAAAAACTTCATAATTGTACATTGCTATGATGATTTTCTTTAGTCATTTAGTATTTTTTAACTTTTCCAAAGAATTCAGTAAAATGACATGAACAAACAAATTCAAACTCCAAAGTCTTTCAACATGTATTAAAAATGGTTATTTTTAGTAGTTGTAATAACTACCATTCTTCTAAAGACTTGTCACAGATATGTGACTTACTTTGGCCAATGAAATGAAATGTGTGTGGATTCTGGATGGAAGCTTTTTTGATAGCCTGTGAATGAGCCACTGTGCTTCCATACTATTGAGCAATTTTTCTGATGATTGAAAATTATGGTCCACCTAGGGCCCTAAATGGGGACAATATGAGACCCAGGCTCTTAATTACCTACCCTGGATAAGAAGCATGAGTGAGAAAATACAACTGTGATTTTGAGCCACAGGCTTTTCTTCCTATAATCATAGCTGAGACAAGTTCACCCTGGCTTTATGTTTCCTCTGAATAGACTGATTATATGGGCTATTCTTTTGTGCTTCGATACCAATAAAGTTTTTTTTTTGGTTGTTTTCTTCGCTTTTGTTTGTTTTAAGACAGTTTCAAGATTGAGCTTGAAGTACTGGTCTTGAGTCATCCTTTAGCTCAGCATCCCAATTCGTTGAGATTATAGGTATATGTTACTGTACCTCACTGTCATTAAGATTTTTAAATGAAGCAAGCCTTGTGAAAACAGCAAAATCCTTTCCATTTTGGAAAAGAAAGAAGTAACTTTAAAAAATATAAAGAAAGCAGGGTACTGATGGCTTATCCTGTAATCCAATCTACTCAGGAGGCAGAGGTCAGAAGGAGTGGTTCAAGGCCAGTGGGGCCTTCCTACAAGAGGAATATAAACGAAAGGTTGCAGCCTAGATCTGTCCAAGCAAAAAGGGAAACCCTCTTTCAAAATAAACAGTACAAAAAAGTGTTGAAGGCATGACTTAAATGTTAGAGGGTCTACATAGCAAGCTTAGTGTGAAACCCTGAATTCAAAATCTAGTACCTCCAAAAACAAACAAACAAATAGGAAAGCTTGTTTAGATAAAATTTTTGGAAAGGAAAATTTGGATGTCTTGAAAAATACTTCGCAGTTTTGACATATAGCAACTTTCCCTGGGTCACTGGGCTACTGATCTTTAACGTCTTAGCTTAAGAATTCCTTCCTCCAGAAATTCTCATCTGACAATGATAATCAAATTCCCAAACAAAATGCTTTCCGTAGTATGCTGCTTTGCTTCCAGCATATGGTCAGTATGTTTCCCGGACCCTCTTGTGCTCTTCTTTAAGATTCTATAGTCTCCCTTATCTCTGCTGCCTTCCTCTATTTTAACTAGTTTTGCCTGCCTTGACTTAAACCAGTTTGCATAATGACTGCCCAACTCTCTACAGGTGCAACCTAGCAGTCAAAACACAAGATACTACCAAACTTGATTTGCACACGCACAGTCAGGAGTGTGGGAGAGGTAAAGCCTTTGAGGTAAGTCTTTTTAAAATTCTACTGTATTGTAGTTATTAATGTGTATTAAATTGCACACAAGAAGGGGTTTCTCTGCATTTATTGTGCTTTGGTCATGTGTACTCTCCCTACTACTCTGTCTTTCTGTCCCTTCTCTCCCCCTCCTCCGTGCTACTTTTTTTTTTCCCCTTTCCAAATATCCCCCCACTACCAGCTTCTACCCAGGAAAGGAAGCATGCAATATTCATTTTTTTCTGTCTGATTTTAGTTAACCCAATGACCTCTAGTTCCATGCATTTTTCCTACAAATGACATGATTTTATTCTTCTTTATGGCTGATAAAATTCCATTGTATATGAATATCTCATTTTCTTTCTCCATTCATCTGTTGATGAGTATCTAGGCTGATTCCATCTCCTGGCTACTGTGAATAGTCAGTGATAAACATGGATGTGCAGCTACCTCTAGTATGCTGGCTGATTTCATTGGGTCTGCTGGTTCACTCTGAGTTTTGTTTTAGTGAGAAATCTCCATACTGATTTCCATCTTGGTTGTGCCTATTTTACATTCTCATCCACCAGGTGTGATGGTTCCTTTCCCCTACATTCTAACTAGTGTTAGTTGTTATTTATTATTTTTTATAGTAGCTACTCTGGAGGGATGGAATCTCAATGAGGCAAACCTTTCACAATAGGAGATGAGGCTGTTGGGTAAGCTTTTTTCCCCTTATCTTGGCCAGATTGTTCTAAAATGTGCCTTATGTAGCTTACTGGAGGATAATTTCATAATTTTGAGCAGTAAACTGACTATAGCGATGGGCAGCTTGCTATTGCCTTCGCTATAGCTCTCCTATATATCAGTTTCCTGTGGCTTCCAAACCAAAGTGCCATCAACAGATGTGCAAACAACAGAAATTATTGTTTCAGCATTCTAGGGGTTAGGGTTCTAAAATCAAAGTTCTGGCAGGGCCATGTTCCCTCCAGAGGTTTTTCCCCCTCCTTTCCCCTCCTTTCCTGTCCACTTCTCTCCTCTCTACCCCTCCCCTCCCTTCTCCTCTTCTGTCCCCTCCCCTGTCTTCCCTCCCCCTGCCCTCTTCTCTCCTTTCTCCCCCTCTTTCCCCCTCTTTCCCTCTCTCTCCCTCTCTCCCCTCCCTCTCTCATTCTCCCTCTCTCTCTCTCTCTCTCTCTCTCTCTCTCTCTCTCTCTCTCTCTCTCTCTCTCTGATGTATGTATGTGTTACTAGTGTTTGAATTCAGAGCATAAGCATGCCAGGCCAGAGTTTTATCTCTTAAGCCACACCGCAGCCTTCTCTCTGAAGAGTTTATGAAAAGATCTCTCTGTTTCTTTTCTAGTTTCTGGTAGCTACAGGCTTTCCTTGGATTGTAGACACAAAACTCTTTCAGTATCAAAATTCATCTGCACATGTCATTCGCCCTGTGTGTCTGTGTTCATAAAAGTTCATTGGCCATACTGGGTAAAGAATGAACCCTCCTAAGCCGGGCGCTGGTGGCTCACGCCTGTAATCCTAGCTACTCAGGAGGCTGAGATCTGAGGATCGTGGTTCAAAGCCAGCCCGGGCAGGAAAGACCGTGAGACTCCTATCTCCAATAAACCACCAGAAAACCGGAAGTGGCGCTGTAGCTCAATGGTAGAGCGCTCGCCTTGAGCTGAAGAGCTGAGGGACAGCGCCCAGGCCCAGAGTTCAAGCCCCACGACCGACAAAAAAAAAAAAAAGAATGAACCCTCCTGTAAAATGACTTCATTTTTAGTTATCTTTGTAACGACCTTTTCCAAGCAATATGCTGAAGTGTATAGGGTTGAACATTCCACATTCATTTTTTTTATGGCATGATCCAATACAAGACATTTTCCCTTCCCTGGTTTATCCTGGGTTTAGACTTCTGCTTCTTGAGATTGAATGCTCTCATAAAGTTCTCACATATCATATTTCCCCTCTGGTTGGCTTTCCAGAAAACTCTTTCTAGGAGAAAATATGCTATTATGCTATTGCAATTTTTATTTTTATTTTTTGCCATGGGGCTTTGAACCCATGGCCTGGACTCTGTCCCTAAGATATTTTGTTCAAGGCTAGTGCTCTACCCACAATCGACCAAAAAAAAAAAAAAAGGCTAGCGCTCTACCACTTTGAGCCACTGCTCCACTGATGGTTTTGTGGTGGTTAATTGGAGAAAGAGTCTCATGGACATTCCTACCCAGGCTGGCTTTGAACTGCAATCCTCAAATCTCAGTGTCCTGAGTAGCTAGGATTACTGGAGAGAGCCACCAGTATCAATGCTATTGCATTTGATCCTCACAATTCACCAATTAGGGAAGTGATTATTTTACTGAAAAAATTAATGCAAATATTAAGTAACTTGTCCACAGTTTTATAGCAATGCTGTGTGAGTCCTGGTCCACTCTGGGCTGCAAACTCAGTGCCATGTATTATGGAAAAAAGTCAATAACTTCAATTCTCCTTCTTCTTCTCCCCTCTCTTATTTCTTCACTCTTCCTGTTACTCTTATCTTCTGTGGGGATGAATTCACAAGAAATACTTAAAAAAGAGAACATGGGAAATGGACTTTTTCTATTTCCTTCCCTGTTCTTCTATCTTGTAGAAAAATCAACCTCCATTGTTTTGGAACCATCCATTTTATAAAAGACAAATGCTGCTGGGTGCTGATGGCTCACACTGGTAATCATAGCTACTCAAGATGCTGGGATCCAGAGGCTGGTATTTGAGGCCAGTCTAGATAAAAAAAAAGTCCAATAGATGCCATTGCCAAAATAAAAAGCAGCCAGAAGCAGGTGGGAGACATGGCTCAAGTGATAGAGCACCAACCAAGTAATTAGTAGAGTGTGTGTGAGACCCTGAGTTCAAAGCCCAGTATAGCAAGAAAAAAATAAGGTAAATTCTTTATTGCTTTCCACAGACATGAAACAGGAAAAGTATCCATTAACAAGCGACTTTTTTCTGAATGAAGTAGCAAGGATGTTGACCATTGCAACAGAGACCTCAGCTTTCAGTTCTGATAGGTCTATACTTACATAATATTTGCACCAGTCACAAATTGTGTGACTTGAGCAAGTTACAAAGCTTCTCTGGGATCCGTTTTACTCGTGCCTACGATTACAGGCTATTGTGAGAATTAAGTTAAATGAAATATTTTGGCCTAGCATATGGCACATAGTCAACGCTTAATAAATATAATTTTTATAAGCACCCCCAAGCTTCTATGACAGTCTACTTTAGAGAATTAGATACAAAGAAATGGCCCATCTGGTGGCTGGTAAGAACACCAGTGGGTGAGGCTCCCAGAATACAATCTACCAGCATAGGTAGGAGAAGGGGGTGGGTGTTTTAGAGAGTCTGATAGTAGGTATTACAATGCTGTGGTGAGAGGATGGAATTCGAGCTGGGAATCTAATTGCAACCTTTATGGGATTAAAATGCTTTCAAAAGTTGGAGAATATAAGGTTATTTAATACTGAATACAGCTATTTCTAGTGAGGTTCTGGGTAGTGTCACCATGGGAATCTTTAGAAAGCTTTAGAAATAATAGTACAAAACAAAAGCTTAAGAAAGCCTGCTGAACCCATAAAGAAAATAAAGCAACAGCTGAGGTGCAAAATACCTAGAAGTATACACTACTTTAATTCCCTACCTCTTGAGAAGTTCATGAGTTATGGTTTTCCAGTGTATGAGAGAACGCTGTTTGTCATCAAATTTAAATATCTCCACAGTGGATTTCATGTGGGGATGATTCACAACATAAAGATACACTGTATGGTCTAAATAGGGGGGAAAAACACATCATTTCCAAACAGTTTACACCCCTTGAAACCATTATTACCTTTATTTTCAAACTTGGGTCACGCACTGATTAAGATGCATTGTATTCCTAAACTGACATGTTGAATTGAAGCCCCTTTGTACAACTACTGAAAAATAAGCAAAACTCCAATCAATCCATCAATCTTGGTCAGTTCCAAAGGCTTTGGTTTGGTTTGGTTTGAGTGAGGATGTCATTGTGATCTCTGGGTTCAAGTCCTGTGCAGCTGGGACTATAAATATATACTACTTTGCCAAGTGTAAGGAGTATTTCTTTATATGCCTTACATTTGACCATAGGCCAACTAAGAAGTAATTCAAATAAAAGCCAGAAACACCATTTATGGAGGAAATAAAGTTCACCATAGGGAATGACTCACTGATTTCACCACTCCCAAAGCAGAGCCAGGTACAGATGTCTCTTTAACTAATCTGCCTTCTCTCTACCATGCTTTCCAACAGGCTTTCCAACAGGAAGAGAGAGTAATGGCAATGGTCTACAAACATGAGAGAGATTTCTCTAGATGATCCTTCAATGAGAGAGTACAAGCAAACAAAACTTTGCTGAGAAATTTTATGTGTGTCTATGCATTTGTCTACAGTCCAGCTTAAGTGCCGAAAATGTCAATGTAAATACCTTAAAATCAACAAAAGGTCTCAGCCAGACAATGAGCTTTTAAAATAACTATTTGAGGTTGCAACAACATGTAGACATGGAATGTGAATGGATATGCATGCACAAGGCAAATCATCCAGAGAATTCCAGGCACTGCCAACTTCAACAGTGTTGGCTTGTTATCACTAACAACATTATATAAGCATGTGAACTACTTGTGAGGGATTCAGGGTGGGGACCTGAGTTCCCAGATTCCTGGTAGCACACATAGGGCTGAAGAGCTGTGGACTTTGTAAAGGTTGGTCCATAGTCCCACTGTAGGTCTTGTTCTGCGTTTATTCTCCCTATTCACATCATTCATGTACTTGTCTAGAAAGTGATGGAGCCAGCTCAAGTACTGACATGCAAAGTTGAGATTCAAGGATCCAGAAACATACCAAGCCATTTTGTGCAAATTAGAAGTGGGTGCTTCCCCATGGATAAAGCTTTCTTTCTCTTCTTCTTTCTTTTCATGGAGTTTCACTGTGTAGCACAGACTGGTCTTGAACTCACACACTTGTTGTCTTGGTCTCTGGAATACTGGGATTACACACCCAGCTCCTGTCCACTTTTAATTACTGAGTTATTTATCACTATTATTGAGCCATAAGAATTATTTCTACATTCTGGATACAAGTCCTTCATCACATATATTGCTTTTCAACTATTTCATTCCTTTGACCCTTTTACTTTATTGATGGCGGCTTGGAGGTAAAAAGCTTCTTATTTTTGTGAGTTGAATTTATCAGATTTCCCTGTCATGTCTAGCATCTTAATATCATACAATTATTTTTAAAGGCCTTTTAGTTTACATCTTAGATATCTGAACAATGATTTTAAGCAGATTATGATAAGACATATAAGAAGAAAAAGTGGTTAGGAAGAAGAGGAAAAGACCACAGAGGGTCCTCAGTATGAATCTTCCTTTTTTAAATGCAATATTCAAAAATATTTTTAGACACATTTATCATCTTGTAAAATATTGTATATATTTTCATGATAAAATAGCAGGTACTTTCTTTCTTTAATGTGGGTTTTGAATAATAGGAGATGAATGCTTTCCATATCCCTCTTTTCCTCTTATACTTAATCATTCAGGGTTTACCTTTGTCGATGAAAGTACTGATCCCATGTGGGTTAAATATTTCTTTGTCAAAACCATCACTGAATTTTAATGCATGTGGCTTTGGATTTTGCTCATTAAGATCCATCAGGAAGATTTGTCCAGGTTCATCTGGTGCAAAGGATGGCATTCCTGGATATTTTAGTCCCTTTAAATGACAGAGAATAAATATGTACATATCAAAATAACATTTTCATACAGAAGCTAAAATCTCAAGGTCAAATAAAATGTTCCAGGTTGTTTCATTTGGATTTCTTTTTCTTTTTCTTTTCTTTCTTTTTTTTTTTTTTGGTCGGTCATGGGCCTGAACTCTGGGCCTAGGCACTGTCCCTCAGCTCTTCAGCTCAAGGCTAGCGCTCTACCACTTGAGCCACAGCGCCACTTCCAGCTTTTTTCTTTTTGCCTATGTGGTGCTGAGGAATCGAACCCAGGGCCTCATGAATGCAAGGCAAGTGCTCTACCACTGAGCCACCTTCCCAGCCCTTCATTTGGATTTCTGAGATGTTTTTGTGGTGATATTTTTCACAATTTGATCTGAGTGAGAGCATAAGGGTTCCCATCATTATCTAAGCATTGTCTGTGAGTGGGAAGAAATACGCTCAAAATAAGTAAGCATTTTTAATTTAGAAAGAATGAAGCCAAGCCTGGTGTGGTAGCACATGCCTGTAATCTCAGCTGCTCTAGGATAGATGGTTTACTATCTGGTGGTTAAGGATGGTTGGGGGGGTCACAAGTTTGACAGAGAATGTACTTATTACCTTACTTATAGAACTGTAACCCCTTTGTACATCACTTTGACAATAAAAATTAATTAAAAAAGAGTCTAGTCTAGACACAGTTAGCTTAAGAAACAATATGAAAAACAACAAAACTAATAAATGGATTAGTGGTATGGCTCAAGTAGTAGAGTGAAGGCACTAAGTTTAATTCCCAGTATTGCAAAAATGAATAAATGAATAAAAATAAATAAACAAATGAAGTTCAAATGACAATGCAAGAGATGTGTTACTTCGTGTGCATTTCTTGGCCTGTTGGTGCCTGAGGTTTCTCATCTATAAGATGAATATGTTGACATGTACAATGGCTAAGATTCTTTCCAGTCCTGATACATTCTAGAACTTCTTCTTTTAAAAAAATTCTTTATTGTTATTATAAAGGTGGGGCATACAGTGGTTACAGTTACAAAAGTTGAATAAAGAGTATACTTCTTTTGAACAATGTCACCCCTTCCCTGACAAATTTCCCTCCTGTCCCCACCCACAAATTGTATACAATGGTTCATTTTCAACATGGTATCTATGGTATCTAGTGAGTACCACTGTTACGTCTGTTTATCCTTCTCCATTTCTGTGCCTCCCCTTCCCCTTCAGTTTACATATAAACAAACAAATAAGACAAAAAGAAACCAAATACATGGTACTAGCACAAGAACAGACCCCATGACCAATGCCTAGAAATGAACCTAAAGACCTATAGCCATCTAGTCTTTGATAAGGGAGCTAAAAAAAATAGAATGGAAGAAAGACAGCCTCTTCAGTAAATGGTGCTGGAAAAATTGGTTAACTACTTGTAGAAAACTAAAGCTAGATCCTTATATATCACCCTGCACCAGAATCAACTCCAAATGGATCAGAGACCTCGAAGTCAAAGTAGACACTCTGAAAACATTACAGGATGGAATAGGAGAAACCCTAGTTCTCCTTGGCACAGGCTGAAACTTTCTTAATAGAGACCCATAAATACAGCAAATCAAAGAAAGATTGGACAAATGGGACTGCATGAAATTGCAGAGCTTCTGCATGGCAAAGGACATAGCTAGCAAGATCAATAGAAAGCCCACGGATTGGGAGAAGATCTTCACTAGCCATACAACAGACAAGGGTCTCATATCTAAATTATACCTGGAACTTAAAAAATTAAATCCCCCAACAACAAATCCTCAAAGAAACAACTGCCCAATAAATAAGTGGGCTAAAGACTTACAGAGAAACTTCTCTGAAAAGGAAAGAAGGATGGCCAATAGACACCTGAAGAAATGCTCACCCTCTATAGCCATAAAAGAAATGCAAATCAAAACAACACTGAGATACCACCTCACCCCAATTAGAATGGCTATAATCAAGAACTCTAATAACAACAGATGCTGGAGGGGATGAGGACAGAAGCCAACCTTACTGCATTGTTGGTGGGAATGTAAACTTGTTCAACCACTTTGGAAAGCAGCATGGAGGTTCCTCAAAAGACTACACATAGAGCTCCCCTATGACCCAGCAATCCCACTTTTGGGCATTTACCCAAATGATCACAAACAAGACCACACTAAAGCTACCAGCATGACTATGTTTATTGCAGCATCATTTACCATAGCTAAGATTTGGAACCAACCCAGATGCCCCTCAGTAGATGAACGGGTCAAGAAAATGTGATATATAAACACAATGGAATTCTATGCCTCCATCAGAAAGAATGACATTGCCCCATTTGTTAGGAAATGGAAAGACTTGGAAAAAATTATATTAAGTGAAGTAAGCCAGGTTCAAAGAAACATAGGTCCCATGGTTTCCCTTATTTGCAATAACTAGTATATGTCTGAGTCAAGCACAATAGGTCAGTTAAGTTGATGTTAGTGGAATGAACCCCAAGATAAGTATTCAAATGGTTTTTCTGTTTTTTTTTCCTTTCATGCAATTGTTTCTAACACATTTATAACATTATTCCTTTGTTGCATTGTATGTCCCTCCCCCACAGTATAACCCCTGCTTTCACTGTATTTGATGTTGGTATAATTTGTGGAGGGGAAGGGCAAAAACAAATCATTTAACTAGGGATACAGGTGGACCCATTGCAACAATGAGATGTACAAGTCGTTATGTAGAAAAATGAACTTTACAACTTTGGTGGGGGGTGGGGGGAGAATTGGGTGGGGGGGGAGGAGGGAGTATGGGAAGGGATGGGAAGGGGAAACAAAGAGGAGGCTACAATGCTTGATAAGAAATATACTTATTACCTTGCCCATGTAATTGTAACTCCTTTGTACAGTATTCTCACAATAATAAAATAAAATAAAATAAAGAAACCAAATACAGCAACAAAGAGAGAGAAAAAGGCCGTTTCCATTTCCTGGAATTCATTTTGATAAATATGATTTTGTATGATCACAGATATAACTTCCTTTTCTCAAAGTATAGAGAAGGAATATATGCTTTCATTTTCTTCTTCCCTTCCCTGTACTCTATGCTAATTATCTTATATAATGGTATATTTACTAATTCTACTTAACTAGACAAGAATTAACTGACACCTTTATTGTGTCAGTGTCATGGTTAACAGTATTATTTTTTATTGTGCCAATCATAGTAAAAAATAAAAAAAGCAGTATGGACTGCCTTAGTCCATACAAGTATGTCTGAAAAATCTGATATGAATTTCCTTTTCTTAAATATTACAAAAAGTTCACTCCAGTAAATTAGACAGCGGTCCTTTCTACTAGTAGGACCTGCTTTCCCTCCACCAGCAATAGCAGCTGGATGCATTGAGCTTTTGCTGCATCTCAGTTTATTGTCTCAAACCCTGGGGTGGTTTATTCTACACCAGGGCCAAAAGAGTCTGTTTCCTGCTCAAGTCCTTTCCCTGTCATCTTTGAACTCTTAGCTTCATGAATATCAGTTTATGTCCTTTCCTCTCTACTCTAGCTTCTCTTTCTGTTCCTCTTCCTGCTTGTGCATGTTCTCTCTCCTCTTTTTCTCTTCTCTCTCTCTCCTCTTCCTTTCTCCTTCCACTGACTCCACACAGTACATAGTCCATATTCTTTGAACTTCCTTGTTTACATCATCAGACTTTTCTTCAATCAGTCCTCCTATGTCCAAACTTTGTGCCTTGGCCTTTGCCTGGGGCAGAAGACCTCTGAGGCCATTGGAGTGGAGCTGGTCACTCTTACTTCTCCTTACTTACCAGACCTGGAGGAGGACCCACAGGCCCCTGGCCATCATTTCTGTTACCAGACCAGATTCTGTCTCCACCAAGTAACATACTATCTCTAAGGACTCCATGCCCTCGATTTTGTCAGATGTTTTATACTTCCCTTTACCCTGGTCAGCTCTTTTGAAGGGTACATCTAAAATTGTACTGAAAAACTACTATGAAGACATCATTCCAACTTTAGACATTCAATTCCATCTTTGTTTCTCTGTCTCAAATTTTTGTCTCTCTGTGTCTCAGTTTCAGTCTCTCTCTCTGTATCTCTCTGTCTCTTATCTCTGTCTCTCTGTGTCTCTGTCTCTCTGTCTCTGTCTCTCTGTGTCTCTCTCTGTCTCTCTGTCTCTGTCTCTCTCTGTCTCTGTCTGTCTCTGTCTCTCTGTCTCTCTCTCTCTCTCTTTCATCATTACTGGGTTTTAGCTCATGTCCATTAGGTAAGTGCTCTACCACTTGAGCCACAGCCCAAGCTATTGTTGATTCTCATATGTAATCTATTGTATTTCTACAGGTATCCTTCTTAAATCTCTTAACCTATCCTACTTTCCCCCCTTTTCCAAAGGAAGAAGTAGCCCTCTTCTGTTCTCATATTAACTTCTTTCTTCTGATTTCTTGGTTCATTTTTCTCTAGGAAATAAAACCCAACCCATACACACTACAACTAAAATACAGATGAAGCTAGGTGCAAGTGGTTCACACCTGAGGATCATGGTTCAAAGCAAGCCTGGGCAGGAAAGTCTTTGAGACTCTTATCTCCAATTAACCACCAGAAAACCAGAATTGTCACTGTAGCTCAAGTGGTAAAGCACTGGCCTTGAGCTGAAGAGCTGAGGGACAGTGCCCAGGCCCAAAGTTCAAGCCCCATTACTGACAAATAAATAAATGCATAATAAAATAAAATAAGATGAGATCTTCACTGTATTCTACTGTGTATATTTTAAAAACTTGGAAACTGAGATCACTTTTTTGGCCAAAAATACATTGATTTTAAAACATATTCTCGATAGAGTTTTACTGGCCAAAAATGGAATATTAGATCTGAAAATTCTAACATCAAAAATTCACTTATACTAAAAACATTATAAATCTACTTTGTCGAAGTAGACTTTGTAAAAGTCTTACCCCAAACCCCAATGGGCATCTGATTTAAAAATAGGTATGACAATTTCCATCATTTTACAAACATACAGCTGTCTGTTTATTGGTTGTGAGTCCTTGGTATAGTTTACTGATTACCTCCCATCCCAAATTTGTAAATGGGATTGTGAGAACAAAATCCAGATTATTTTCTAGCTCTTTAAAAAGAAATGGAAGGAATGATAAACAGCCCAAGATAGAATGTTCTCAGGGTTTTGAACGCAGTGGCATGGTTCACGTTCAATCTACTAATATGTACATAGCTCTAAGCACAGGGAGGCATGGCAAGAATACTAGGTAATGAGAAGATGCCTACCCAGTCCAATAGGGCAATGCTGAAGATGAACAACAAGATAGCTCTGGAGACCAGCCTGGAAATCAAATGCAAATCAATATACATTTGTTCAGACTCTGCCAGTGTGGAGCTGACCACAGGAAGCTACCCACCATGGGGCAGTCAAGGCTAGGCATTCCTGTGGTGTTCTAATTAGCCCTTCAGATTCCTGTTTGAGCCTTTTTAGTTGACTTGTCTGACCCAGAGGTGGAATGAAATGTAGGGGTCCACCTGGAAGCCTTCCCTGGCAACATTAATGCACTGTCTATATGGCTATTGACAGGAGCATCAAAACAGATTGGGAAATACTCACAGTGGAGATAAAAGCCAGCCCACTAGGAAGTATGTCAATATCTTCAGAGCCATTTTCTGCAAAACAAAATATCAGAACGATGCATACATAGAGGTCAAAATAGTCAAAACTTCTTTTTTTGAAACTATGTTGACTTTTTCAACTACTTAAGAAACTATTCATTTTCAGGAATCCCACAGACTAAATACTATATTCTTTTTTAGATCTCCATTTTTTTCAGAGAAATAGCTAAGTAACTATATCACAAACCTATATCTTGGGTTTATTCATTAACAAATTCCAGAGCATGTTCTGAAAGATTAAATATTAATCCTCATAGTAGGCTGTTGCACAGAATGATAGATAACATTCAAAATGTCATGATTGTGAAGTTTCTTATAGGCCTTTCTCCAAATCCTTCTTCCACTTTCAGCTTGCCATGGCCTTAATACTTATCATTATGCATTTAAATTAGGGAATCATTGAGTAATTCTTCTCTATTATAAAGGCAATAATTCTTAAGATGAACTACATGTATAAATGAATTTGGAAGACTTTAATCAGACCTTTTCCCATTGACCCAGTGTGTGTTGGAAAGGTTTATCTAATTAAAGTTTGACTGAGAACAAAAGGGTGACATGTCTTCTTGCAGGGAGATAAGTCACTTGGCCAAGTAAGCAACACTGATAGTAAGAGCCATGATTATCTACTGTGGTGAATTTCCTTCTGCAAATATCAGGAACAACATGTACCACAGTCTCACATTCTTTTTACTGGATGTTCACAGTTTCCATTAAGAGGTAATGTCTGTTTTCTCTCCCTTTACAACTGTATAAACCTTTGTAAAGGTTCTTGTGTTACCTTGACAAATAGAATGAGGTGAATGTCATGCCAAGTAACATCCAACGCTAAGTGTTATACACATAGTTTCTCCTGAATGTGCTCTCTCCCTGTCTCTGTCTCTGTCTCTGTCTCTGTCTCTATTTCTGTCTTTGTCTATCTATCTGTTTCTCCAAGAAATCAAATGAGGACTGGGAAGGTGGCTCAGTGGTAGAGCGCTTGCCTTGCATGCTCAAGGCCCTGGGTTCGATTCCTCAGCACCACATAAGCAAAAAGAAAAAAGCCAGAAATGGTGCTGTGGCTCAAGTGGTAGAGTGCTAGCCTTGAGCTGAAGAGCTGAGGGACAGTGCCCAGGCCCAAAGTTCAGGCCCCACAACTGGACCCCCCCCAAAAAAATCAAATGATTTTAAAGTTGCAGAGAATGTAGACAGAGATGCTAACAGGCCCAGATAATTTACATCTCAAGCTTTGAGTAACTTTCATGAATTCAAATGGAACAGGTGACCTGTCTCCAAGCCTTGCTACAATTTCAAAGCCATAAACGAAATAACTACTATTCTTGTTGTTGTTTATTTGTTTTCACCAGAGTGTCTGGCTCTGCAGCTCAAGCAGGGCCTTGAATTCATATCTCCTTATTTCAATCTCTTGAATGATGGGATTGTAGATTTGTGCCACCACATTTGGCCTTGTTTTTTTAAGTCATTAATTGTGGTGTGGTTGGTTATAGAGCCACGACATTTGGCACATGTGAGAAAATGGTTACCTGGGGAAATAGGTTTGCTAGGATGTCACTGGGCAATTGGACAATGACAGGGAAAAATGTAGAGAAGTGGGGAAAGACAAAGAAAATATAAATGTAACTCATCAGGATATTTAGCAATAGGCACTGGAAACATAAGAGTAGAGAAAGTTTTGGGTTTGTTTTTTATTCACTATATTGAAGGTTGAAACCAGTCCCCAACTAGTAATGATAAAAAACAAAATTAACCAGAACTTCTTATTTTGGAAGTTCAGGAGATTCAGCCATTTATTGTACCTTAATGGCCTGAAAGATTTCACGCTGTTTTTCACATGGAGTAACATAGGCCTGGGAGATTCCAACAAACCAAACCAAGAAGCAGTTTGGGACTGGGAATGTGGCTTAGTGGTAGAGTGCTTGCCCAGTATGCATGAAGACTTGGGTTTGATTCCTCAGTACCACATAAACAGAAAAAGCCAAAAGTGGCACTGTGGCTCAAGTGATAGAGTGCTAGCCTTGAGCAAAAGCAGCTCAGAAACAGTACCCAGGCCCCGATCAAGCCCCAGGATTGGCAAAAAAAAAAAAAAAAAAATCAAAGTTTGGTTACTTTTCTGTTGTTGTTTTTTTTGTGTGTCTGCACACCTCCGCTAGGTTTCCTTTAACCTTTATCTCCTTCCTTCCTCTGTGCTAAATGTGAGTGTGCTCCAGTCTTAGTGAGGCATTGGGTCTTTCCCATGGCAGAGCATCCGTTCTGCATGATCCACTTAGTCCTATGGTTCCAATTGTACATATTGTTCTTCGGTCTCTAATGTCTATATCAAGCCCAAGCCATCCTTTTCATCCCTACTTCTATAACCACCAGTATGCTTGTTTGTCCTCTCTCCATTTTCATAGTCAATAGGTTTTAAGCTGCTCCGGACATTTGGGTTCACTCTACTTTCCATATGCCAGGGAATCATAGCACTTTCATCCCCTAGTACCCAAAGCAGAAACTTGGAGCTGTCTTTGATGCCTCCCTTTTCCTTAACCACTCAAACCACTGACCACCAATCATCCAAGCTTTGGATCATTCTCATCAGTCTCCATAGTAGCTTACCAAAAGTTTAGTGTTGCTCCTCTCCACCCATTCTGCTAGTTAGCTGATAGTCTAACTCCTTAGGCCCCTTGGTCTAGATCCCAAACCCTGTCTATTGTGGGTCTTGTCTCCATTCTGTTGCTCCCACCTCCCACTCAACATTCCAGCCATCATCTTCACTTCTGTGAGTGGCTTGTGAAACAGGCTGGAATCATCCGTCTGCCTGTTTAGGAAATGCTTGTCTTCCCCTCCTGTCCCACTCAGCCGTCTTCCATGTCACTGAGCCAAGATCACAGTCTCTAGGAATAGAGTGGAGCTTCATTTGACTTATACTCTGGGTCATCTATCTCTTATTGCTTTAATTATTTTTTTCAGGTGGAATCTAGTATTTTTACTCAAGGCTTCTTTCTGACTGTGATCCTTCTACCTATGGCCTTGTGTGTAGATAGGACCATACACACATACCACCACACTTAGATTATTAGCTGAAATGGGGGTCCTGCTAATTTTCTGGCTATGATGGCCTTGAACCATGATCCTTGTGATCTCCACCTTCTCAGTAGCTGGGATTAAAGAGCCACCATACCTAGCTCTAATCTTCCTTTCCATCGTGGAAGCTCTCTGTAAAAGCTGGTTGGATCAATAAATAAAATAAACAATTTTTTAACTTTGTCTCATTGTTTAAGGTAAACTATGGTAAGTGAATGTCATTTTCTGAGAACAGATCGTCTGTAACTTATGATGGATCCAGTTGTGATTTTTCAACTTTATTGTGGGGCAAAAGAAATGTACCCCAGTATAGTGAGTGCTCTGTTCAGATTTTGAATTCTGACCTTTATCTCTGACCAGAAATATGCTGCATGGTATGCTCTTGCCATGTTAGGCCATGGCTGTGATCTGTAGCTGAGCCCACCACTTAGCCATGAAGAAACATGAAGAACTCTACAGTGAACTTGGTTGCTAGGTTACGTGTTTGGTAGGCCAGGTATAGGACACTTTTGGGGTTTTTCTGGTCTGTCATGGGCATTGCGCCCACAGGGCCTGTCCCTGAACTTTTTTGCTCAATCCCAGCACTCTATTTACCAAACTTGAGCCACAGCTCCACTTTCAATTTTCAGGAGGTTAATTGGAGATAAGAGTCTCAAGAACTTTCCTGCCTGGGCTGGCATCACACCATAATCCTCAAATCCCAGCCTCCTGAGAGAGCTAGTATTTCAGGAGTGAGCCACCAGTTCCTGGCAGGAACTACATTTTCATTTTATGATATTTTCAACTTTCATTGGGTTAATCAGGTCAAAAGCTCCATCATCAATCAAGGCATATTTAGAAACTATCGTGAGTTGTGTGCTTTCTGCTTTGGCTCTTTCTTTTCCCAATAAATCTACCTATCTTCTATGACAGTGTAAATCTACCAGAAAAACAAAACAAAACAAATCCAAATAAACAAATTCCATTTTCAGAGATGCAATCTGTGGGTTTGATGGCTTCACCCAAAGCACAGGGAAGCGGGTGCACTGCATTTGGAAGTGGAAAATCACAATGGATGGTTACACAGTATTTCTGTTTCTGCACTGTGGTCTGTGCTGAATGTGTATGATATACCTGGCACAACTCAGCAACTAAGACACCCGTGGGAGGAAGCACTTCGGGACATCCTCCTTAGAGACCTCATCACACACCTATTAGTCCACACACAACTACCACTAAAACCTTACTGCCAAATCTACAAAAATCTGTCTTATTAACCTGTCAACGTTACAGTACCTTGGCAGACATCATCTCTGTAATCACTTCTTAAACCATTCTTTATAGATAGAAAGATAACCCCAGAATTTCACTGCCAGTTAATTTTTCATTATCACATCACATCTCAAAAAGAAGGTTTCAATAGCTAGCTTAGGAAACAAATAAAATATTCATTGTAAACTAAGAGCCTAACTTGGAGACATGCAGAGTTATGGGAAAGAAACATGCAAGGGAAGATGGGAAGATAGCAAAGGATGCCAACTTGCTAGCCCTGCCCACAATAAGCCCTAGGGTAGCTATTTACATTCCAAGGACAGCCCTGAGCAGATGCTGAGGGCAGCCAAATAACTTCCTGGTTCAAACAATCTTTGACCCTTACAAACTTGGATAAAAGATAAACTTAATACAAAATGAACTCTGAGGTAGGATTTCTGGAGAAAGAAATATCTCATCTTTCATTCTTTCCTTACACACCCACACCCACATACCCACCCACACCCACACACCCACACCCCCACACACAAATATTCCACTAATGAAATTAATCTGAAAAGTTTCATCTAGAGGACAATGAAAATAATAATGTCCCTCCAGCTCTGTTCCTATCAACTATATTCAACCTTAACTTCTCTAGTGGCTCTCCATTTCTTCCATAAAACTTTCTCCCGTCTAATAGTTCTTTTGCCTTGCGAATACTATCCTTAGCTGTTTTTATTTCATTTTCTACCCTGCTTTGCCCTTGTCTGCCTCTCTTTGGTAAAATTCAAACTGTCTGCATTTTATGATTTCTTTTGCCATAATACTTTTCTGGAACTTCTGTCATAAAAAAATGTGTTTTTCAATAGTGCACTGTTACACAAGACAGGCTGTGTTACACAATAAGAAATGCAATTGCATCAATGAAAACCATTTAGATCCGTAATGAAAATCTCACCACCTCTCCTTTTGGTTTATTATGTAAGTAACTTCATTCTTTTGTGGGTGAGTTTGCAAAGCACAGATAACAGCACTTTTATTATAGATCAATGATAAGAAGACTATAGGTGTTTGCAAAGGACTCAACAGAATACTCACAGGCACCAGGCCTTTGAGAAGGCAGCTTTTGAGTGCTAGGTAGACATCAGTATTATTCTCTCAATAAATGACTCATGATCACTCTACCTTGTTTAGCTCTCAAACATAAAATGTAATTATGTCAATAGTCATGAGAAGTAATGGGAAGTTTTTCTTCTGCTCCTAGTCTGTTTCTGAGCATTAATTATTCTCTTTAAAATATTAGACAGGGCTGGGAAGGTGGCTCAGTGGTAGAGCGCTTTCCTTGCATACATGAGGCCCTGGGTTCGATTCCTCAGCACCACATAAGAAAAAAGAAAAAAAGCCAAAAGTGGCACTGTGGCTCAAGTGGTAGAGTGCTAGCCTTGAGCTGAAGAGCTGAGGGACAGCGCCCAGGCCCAGAGTTCAGGCCCCACTACCGGACCCCACCAAAAAAAAAAAAAAAAAAAATATATATATATATGGATATATATATATATATATATATATGTATATATTAGAAAATCAGATCATGACCACTTTACCTTGCTTAGGTCTTCAAATATAAAATGTAAATATGCCAATATTCCTGAGTAGTAATGTGATTTTTATTTTTTTCTGCTGTTCCTAGCTAGCTTCTAAGTGTTCATCATTCTCTTTAAAATACTAGGTAATGACTACCGAAGAAAATACTAGATAATCAGATCACTGATCAACGATTTACTTTTTAGTTTCTTGAGTTTAGTTAAGTTACACATGGAACTGGACTTTACTGGCCAGCTAGTCTTACCCCTCTAAATTATTTGGCAGACGCACTGCTTTTGAGAGATGGATGTGTAGTAAGTGTGGATGTTTTTCACCACAACAGTAAACAAGCTAGTGAATATAACTTCTTCAAATCAAATTACATATGATCTGATCCTCCCCAGTCTATGAGATGGATAGGAAAATTAACTTGCAGCACTACTGCATTTCCCTGTTATCTAGGTGGAAGATCTTAAAAATCAAGCAGAATGTTTAAATACTCACTGCTGACCTTATGTGACTTCTTTAATTTAATAATTCTTCCTCTTCCTTGCCTCATGTACAAGTTCTTTGCTGAGGCAAGGATACAGAGGACACAAGTCAATGTCCCTAAAAGAGACAAACTTCCTTCCTCTGACCCAGAATGTCATCAGGCATTGAGTCAGGCTCCCTTGCTATTCACAGAAATCCACATGTTCCATCCCTTCCCATTAGAATCCCTCAGGCTCAGAGAGAGGATGCCTGCCCCTTCTTCCTGTTGGAAGCACAAATGCCTCTAAGAGTAGGTAACACAAAGACAAGGTTATTGAGAGAGAAAGAGGGAAAAAACTGAGAGGAGAAATCCAAAGCCAAATGGGATTCTTTTTTTGTGTTTGTTTAATACATAGAACCAGGAAAAGATAATATAAATTTCTATTGTAAAATAATCTGTCTTGTCACATAGCAGCAAAAGTCACAGTCCTTTTACCCTAGGGAGTTTGCAACCTGACAATGAGAGAGATAACACTAGTGATGACAGAATGAAGCGTGAAGCCCGTGGTGGACTACATGAGTGAAGCAGCACTTCAGAGCACTGTGAGAGAAGAGAAGAAAGACATATTTGCAAGAAGCAGAGATGGAAGAATTGGTGGTGAGAATTTTATAAGCAATGAGTGAGAAAGTGATTGAATGCATTCCCAAGACAGTGAATAGAATGTAGCTTGTTTTTCACTTTATTTTCTGGAAGCACTGTCAGAAAAAAATTGGAGATTTGGAGCTAGGCAAACAGTGTGGCTATGACCGGTAATTGAGATCACCCCTACTGGGACACAAAGGAGACTGATAAGAGGAATCTCATGTGGAGGAAGCAGAAGCGATACAAGAGAAACAAATAGTGCTTGGATTTTTAACTAGGCCCCCAGTGAATGGGGCACTACCTACAGGAGAAATTTAGCGGAGCTGACTGTGGGTGGGGGAATGAAGGAGGATATATAGAGCTCATTTCAACTAAGGCTGAGTCTACAGTAATGTGAGCCTTTGAATGATGGAAAAAAGTCTCAGGACTTAGAGATCTGACTATGGATTTCAGATTAATGTTTGAAAACACATCTAGGTAGGCTGGGAGGTTCTTGAAGTTTAAGGACTAAGTCAAATTTCTCTTGATATTTTCTGATAAATGTTGAAAGAAGTAACAGTGGAAGCCAAGAACATGTTTAAAGGCAAAGAAAAAAGGAAGGAGGGAGGGAAGGCGGAAGGGGAAGAGGAGGAGGGAGGAAAAGAGGAAGGGGACTTTGGGAAGAGGAAGAGGGAAGGAAGGATGGAGGAAGGATCACTGGAAAGTGGGAAGAGAGGGAGGGAGGGAAGAAGGGAGGAAGAAAAGAAGGAAAAGGAAAGGAAAGGAGGAAGGAAGCCATTCCAGTAAGGGCTAAAAGTTAAAAGGAATTGGCAAGAGCCAGTGGCTCATGCCTGTAATCCTAGCTACGCAGGAGGCTGAGATCTGAGGATCATGGTTTGAAGGCAGCAGAAAAGTCTGTGAGACACTTATAAACCACTCTGAAAAAGCCAGAAGTGGCATTGTGGCTCAACTAGCCTTGAGCACAAAGAGGCTCAGAGACAGTGACCAGGCCCTAAATTCAAGTCCCAGGACCAGCAAAACAACAACAACAACAACAAATGAACAAACAAAAAAGGAGTTAAATTATTTGGTAAGATCAACCAGCCTTTCTTTACCTACCAAGTCCCTCAATAAGCTGGCAGTTCTGAAGTTCCACAGATGTCACTTCTCGAGACACAGCATTCATTTTTCCTCTGTACAAGACAAAAATCAATATGGAGGTTAAGGCAGCACATCCAAAATCTGTGTTTGAGCTCTGAAAACCTCTAATCATTTTTATATTGGTTAACTCTTTCATTCTAATTCATAACAAATAAGAAATCAACTCTTCTTATTTATGTTTATTTACACAGTGCGGACATTATGATAGTAAGATATATGATGTACATTATATATATGATATACATTAAAATATATATATATATATATATGGATGATATAAAGAAACTAGTTGGTCAGTGTAGCACCAAGAATAATCCCAGCTATTTAGGATGCTGATGCAAGTGGATTAAGAAGATCAAGGAAAAATGCTAACCCCAGACAAAAATAGGAGGACTATCTAAAAAATAAAATAAAAACAAAAGAGCTGGGAGTCTGGCTCAAAAGTGGCTCAGTAAAATTTTATTGTGTATATATATCACATTTTCTTGATCTATTTGTCCACTAAGGGGCATCTGGGCTGATTTCATACCTTGGCTATAGAGAATAGAGCTAAAATAAACATGATTGTGCTGGTAGTTTTACTGTATCCTGGTTTGAAATCTTTGGGGTAAATGTCCAGGAGCAGAATTGCTGAATCATACGGTAGTGTTTTTGTTTTGGGGTTTTTTTGTTGTTGTTGTTTTGTTTCTTCTCTTTTTTTTTGAGGAATTGCCACACTGCTTTCCAGAGTGGTTGAACAAGTTTACATTCTCACCAATAGTATGTTAGGGCTCCCTTTTGGCTGAATCCTCACCAGCATCTGTTGTTGTTTTTTTGCTTTGATATTGGCTATTCTAACTGGAGTTATGTGGAATCTCAATGTTGTCTTGTTTTGTGTTTCCTTTCTGGCCAGGGATGTTGAGCATTTCTTCATGACTACTAACCATTTTTACTTTTTCTTCTGAGAAACTCTTATAATCTCATTAGTCCACTTATTAATTGGGTTGTTGGTTTTTTTAGTTTTGGCTTTTTAAGTTCCTTATGTATCCTGGATATAAGGGCATTGTCTCCTCCATTAGAAAGAATGATTTGTAATGATTTGTAAAGAAATAGAAAGACTTGGAAAAATTATGTTAAATAATTTTTCCTCTTCTATGTGGAAGCTAGATTTAGCTGACAAGCTCAGAAGTAAATGCATTGGGTGGTGTGTAAGTGTATACTAATGTATTAACTCAAATACAGTTGATTTGAGGGAGATCTCAAATACTGTAATTCCTTAGAAAGGCAAATCAAATTTCAGCAAAGTGATATACCAGAAAATTGGTACTGGAAAGAGGTAAGGTGGGGTGAGGTCAAGGGTAAGGGATAAAGAGATGAATAGGAAAAGAGGTGGGGGGGGGCAGGGTTACAGACAAAATCCAATGTATAGCCTACAAAATTAAGAAGAATGAGGGGGAAAGGCTGGGTAAGTAAGGAATGGATGAGAATATTGAAAGTGGTGACTTGATCAATTGAAACCAAAGGAAGATATTCTTAGGAGAGGATCACAAAGGAGCAATAGCTATGTGCATTTGATCATATAAAATAATATTTATCAAAATGAACCCCAGGAAATGAAAATAAGAAGTTTGTTATACTTCATTGCTGTTTTGTTTAGTTTTCTTTTTGTCTTGTTATTCATTTATGTGTCTTTGGTAGGATAAAGGTGGGGGGCAGACATGGAGGGACAAAGGGTGAACAAATACAGCAGTGATACACACTAGACACTATGTTGAAAATGAGCTATACAACTTGTGGTTGGGGACAGGAGGTAAAAATTGGGAGAGAGCTGAGGGAAGAGCTGATGTTGTTCAAAAAGAAATGTACTCATTATCTGACTTATAGAACTGCAATCTGTACAGCATGTTTACAATAATAATAAAAATGTAATAAAAAGATACATTGTATTCACTTAGTGGTAGAACACAAAGTTGCCATATGTATATGCCTCTAATCATATACAATACTATTTGTCAAAGTAAATTCCAAGAAATGGAAATAAGAGGCTTTTTCTTTGTTTTTGCTTTTTTTTTTTTTGTCTTGTTTGTTTGTTTCTATGTCTTTAGAAGGGCAAGGGGGCACAGAAATGGAGGGACAAAGGATGAACAAATGCAGCAGTAGTACTCACTAGAGACTATGCTGAAAATGAACTATTTAACTTGTGTGTGGGGGTGGGAGGGAAAAACTGGGAGAGAGAAAGAGTGACATTGTCCAAAAAGAAATGTACTCATTACCCGACTACCCTCTGTACATCACCTTCATAATAACAATACATTTTTAAAGATAAATTCTATTCATAAACTCCTTTGTTAAATGGCAACTCTTTTATATAACTACTAAAGATAATAATTTAAAAAATGGGGCTGGGAAGGTGGCTCAGTGGTAGAGTGCTTGCCTTGCATGCATGAGGCCCTGGGTTCAATTTTTCAGCCCCACATAAGCAGAAAGAGCTGGATGTGGCGCTGTGGCTCAAGTGGTAGAGCGCTAGCCTTGAGCTGAAGAGCTGAGGGACAGTGCCCAGGCCCAGAGTTCAGGCCCCATGACTGGCAAAAAAATAAAAATAAAAATAAATATATAATAAAAAATTGATGATTTAAAAAAAAGTGAGCACTTGCTTAAGGCCCAAGGTTCAATTCCAAGCAAGCAAATATACAAACAAAACCCAAACAAGCAAACATACAAATGGTAAATACTATTTGTTAGTATGAATAAACAATATTGTTAATTTGGATGTATAAAATAGCATTTTGTTTCACTTTGAAAGTAATATGACCTATAAATCTTCATTTCTGCCTATATCTGCTATAATTTTTCTTTCAAAAATATTTTACGTAGTTCTAGGAGTCTCATTTCAACATATCACCATGTGAGTATAGTACATCTTGATCAATGGTCCCCTTTTAACATTAGAGATTTGCTTTTTAAAAAATCCTTCCTCTCACAAACTGCTTTTCCAAACTTCTCTGAAGAGCTAAATCCTGCCATTTTTGCATTAATTTTATTAAGCATGTGCTGACTTAGCAAATATGTGAATTCATTAAACTGAACACCATTTTAGCAGTCAACCAAATTACCACAGTGCTCTTATTTCCACAGCAAAAGTCTTCTAAATAAAAAATTTTTAAATTTACTAAACTATATTCAAGAAGACGCTATGGTTACTTTTTTAAAAAAGAGTTGGGGGTTGTAAATCAGTGGTGGAATGGTCTAGCTATATCTGGTACTACACATACACACACGTTAACCCAAATCTATTATTCTTATTCTTATTCTGTCACTTAACCGTGGTAGGAATAAACAAATGCAACAATTAACACTCTCCAGCTAAACTAGAAAGTATTCTCAACGGGCATTACTGCTTCACACAGATTCTAGATGTGAGGTTCCTTAGAGAAACATAACAACCCGAAAGAATTAAAAGCAAAGGAGAGTTTAGACTTACTGGCCTAATAACCCCCCCTAAAGAGGATCTTCTTTCTAGCCCACTACTGGCTTTTCCAGAGAAGTTTCTGGAATAGCTCTCTCTGCACAGTGCCAACAACCACCTGCCAGTCTCTTCTTCGTTGCCTGCTATCTGGCTTGCTCTTTGGGTTCTATCACTCTGGGTGAATCAACAGTGAAACCACTCTTAGTTAATATCTGACTCAGTCCTCCACATCCACCCTGTAGCCTTCCCCACCTCCCCCTCAAAGTCTAGCACTTGGAAGGATTCTGTTTCTCCAGGAGTACGTAGAGAGCAAACCTAACTATCAGGGTCCTAGGGAAAAGCAAGCTAGTCAGACTCACTTCCCAGATCAGGGATTCTCAGAGTGTTTTGACTAGGAGGGGATTGTCCCAAAGCCGCTCCTGGGGACCTGCTGGAAAGACGGAAGCCAGCTGTGAAGGACAGCCCTAGGAGCCCCCAGAGGAGACACTCACTCACCTCAAGGATAAGATCCTCTCCCCGATGAAGGCCAAGCTGGCCCCTAGCAGGGCCAGAGCCACTAGTCTCCCCATGATCTCGGGGTGCCCGGTGATGACAAGCAGACAGATAATGTACACGGGGGAGGGAGGCAGGCTCTGGAGCCTCCCGTCTGGGCTCGCGGGGCGGTGCCCGAGCCGGGCCGCGCCTCCTGCGGCCAGCGAGCAGCTGGGAGGGTGCTGGGCGGGGCGGCGGGGTCGTGCGCCCCAGCCTGGAGCCCAGGTACCAGACTACGTCTCTGCGCCAGGTTCATGGATAACATTTTGCGCAGGGGGTGGGAGTGGTGGAAGAGGGGGTGTTCTAGGAAACTTTCAACGGGCGAGTTCGAAAGCCACCTTTTTCGCGGTCGGAGTTCCAGGAGACCTTTCCGCGCCAAGTTCAAGGCCATCTTTCTGGGCCGAAGGTCAGTGGGGAAACTTGGAGCTCCGGACTCGCTCCTCCTCTCCCTCCCACTCCTCCTCCCTCACGGTCACCCTTACCTCACCCGGGCCTCTGGTGAAAGTCTGAGGTTTTCTTGGCAGGTGGTGAACAGGTGGTGTGAGTTTGCTTCTGAAAGCCACGACATTCAATCTCAGCTCCTCAATCCGGACTGGAGGTGGGGGAGGGTGGGAAGCTTCCAAATAAAAAGTCACAGCCTGAAACTGGGGGTTTCTGGCAGGCAAGCCGTACATGCGGTGGACTGAATTGCTGCCCAGACACTCAAGTGGAAAGAAGACATTGGTAAAGAGCTTCAACTCTCCCTTCTCCAGGATTTGAGGCACAGGACATGGCATCGGGGCCTTCCTGCTTTACATCAAAGCTCCCAACATGGTCTAGTTCCATGTGTAGATTGGATGGTGAATGGCGCTTTCTGTCCCCATGTTGGTAGGGTAAAGAAAACTCAACAGAGTAGAGGGCGGGGGGGGGGGGGGGGGGGGGGAGAGGAAATAGAAAGACCAGTAGAAAGGGAAGGGAAAAGTAGTTTCCTGGGAACTTAGGCTTCCCAAAGATGTCTTGTTCCTACTTTCTTCTAGGGCTGTCCAAGGAGGAACACACTTGGGGTTTTTCTGAAAAAGACCAAGGCGGAAGGGAGACACTGAAGATGAAGGAAGGATGAAGGAAGACTAGAGAAGGCTCGGGAAAAGTTGCATCTTCCCATGCGATGTTTTTAGTTGCCAGCAGTGGCGGAAAATTTCCTATTGGGTTTGAGATTGTGTGTGTGTGTGTGTGTTAGAAATCAAGATTCGTCTAGACCTAAAGATATTGAGAAGGAAAGGTCTGGGTGCAGGTGGCTCAAGCCTGTAATCCTAGCTATTCAGGAGGCTGAGATCTGAGGATCAAAGTTCGAAGCCAACCCAGAGCAGGTAAGTCCATGAGACTCTTATCTCCAATTAACTACTAGGAAGTGGCACTGTGGCTCAAGTGGTAACATGTTAGCCTTGAACAAAAGAGCTCAAGAACAGCACCTAAACAGAGAGGGGGTGGGGAGGTGTTCCTTGACCAACAGGATACATAAGATACACATTTATACCTACAATAAGATACACAATTATAAGACAATGAAGCCTATGAAGACCTTCAGAGTAATACTTTAAATTCTCAGAACATCCTCTGAGGTAGGTAACAGTATTCCAATATCGTAGGGGAGAAAAAAAAAGTTACAAAATGGTTGTAGGATTTGCCCCAAGTCACACATTTGGTAAGTAGCAGAGTCAAACATCCTAGATCCAAATCCTTGCACTGTGGAGCCTTCTGAGCTGCCTGTGTTATACTAGGGGTAAAGGAGATATTGCAGCATCTGAAGCTGTGGGTATAGATAGGACTATTCTCTTTAAGATGAGTACTTTTCAAAGCATGTAAATAAAGAGATGAACACTTTCCATGATGATTTAAAAGGAGGACAAGGGCTTAAGATCTGAGGGCCTAAAGCATATGCGGCAGGAAAATATGCAGTCTGGAACTCAGGCATATGTTTAGAGCCAGTTTTGACAAGCACAACTTTCTTTTCTTTTAATATTTTTTATTGTAAAAATACTGTACAGAGGGGTTACAGTTACACGAGGAAGGTAATGAGTACATTTCCTATAGAGCATTGTTACCTCCTCCTTTGTTTTTCCCCTACCATCCCTTCCCTCCCACCACCACAACTACACTCCCCCCTCCCCCCCTCCTCCCCACCTAAATTCTAAAGTTCGTTTTTCAACACAGTGTCTTGTACATCTCATTGTTACAATGGGTCAACCTGTATCCCTATTTAAGCATTTTGTTTTTTCCCTTCCCCTCCCAAATTAGAGAAGTGTATATACAAGATGCAGGGCACTGACATCAAGTACAGTGAAAACAGGGGTTATACCATGGGGGAGGAACATACAAAGAAACAAAAAAATCACATGGTGCATTATAAATACATTAGAAACAATAGCAAGAAAGAAAAAACCACTTGTGTACCACAGCTAAGATATGGATGCCCCTCAGTAGATGAATTTAATGGATCAAGAAAATGTGGTATATATACACAATAGAATTGTTTCCATCAGAAAGAATGACATCACTCCATTTGTTAGGAAATGGAAAGACTTAAAAAAAATTATATTTAGTGAAGTAAGCCAGGCCCAAAGAAACATAGGTCCCATGGTTTCTCTTATTTACAATAACTAGTATGTTTGGGACAAGCAGGAAAGGTCAAAAGCTATGTACATATGACCAGGATAAGATGATGTTAAGCACAACTTTCTTAAGCTACAGATTTCTTTCTTTCTTTCTTTTTTAAAAATCAGTTGTGGGGCTTGAACTCTGGGCCTGGGCACTATCCCAGAGCTCTTATTGCTTAAGGCTAGCGCTCTCCTACTTTGAGTCCAATACCACTTTTGGTTTTCTGATGGTTAATTAGAGAGAAGAGTCTCATGAAGGAGGATATTCTTAGGAGAGGATCACAAAGGCTCAGTAGCTATGTGCATATGATCATATAAAATGATGCTTATCTAGCCGGGCACCAGTGGCTCACGCCTGTAATCCTAGTTACTCAGGAGGCTGAGATCTGAGGATCGAGGTTCAAAGCCAGCCCAGGCAGGAAAGCCTATGAGACTCTTTTATCTCCAATAAACCACCAGAAAACCGGAAGTAGTGCTGTGGCTCAAGCGGTAGAGCATTTGCCTTGAGCTGAAGAGCTGAGAGACAGTGCCCAAGCCCAGAGTTCAAGCCCCATGACCGACAAAAAAAAAAAAAAGATGCTTATCTAAATGAACTCCAATAAATGAAAACAAGAGATTTTTTTTTATTTTATTGTTTGTGTCTTTTTCTTCTTTTTTCTTTTTTTCTCTTTTTGTTGCTTCTTTTGATATCTGTACTTTTTGTCTTCTATGTAAGTTTATCTGATTTGGGAAGGGTAAGGGAAAGCACAGAAGTGGTGAGACAAAGGGTGAACAAATGCAGCAGTGATAAAAATGAACTATACAACTTGTGGGGGAGGGGGGCTGGAAGGGGAGAATACTGGGAGAAAATGAGGGAAGAGTTGACAGTGTTCAAAAAGAAATGTACTCATTACCTGACTTATATAACTGCAACTACTCTGTATATCACATTTGCAATAAAAAAAAATCATCAGTTTAAAAAATAAAGCAAAGAATTGATTTTTAAAAAAGTCTGATGTACCTTCCTTCCTAGGCTAGCATCAAACTGCAGTCCTCAAATTACAGCCTCCTCAGTAGCTAGGATTACAAGCATGAGCAACTGGTGCCTGGCACAGATTCCTTTTCTGCACCCACTTTATATGAAGTTCTTAATGCTGTACTTGGCATACCAGTAAAGATTAACCCCAATTAGATTTGAACCTCTGCTTGAAATTATGGGCTCCTTGTGGGGAAAGATCCCATTCTATTCATTACTGAGTCTACCAGGACCATTCATTGAACTTTGCACTTAACAGTGTCTCAGTAAATTTGATTTGATGGATGGATGTAAGATATGATCTTAGGAGAAAGGAAAGTTAGAAGAAAGAAAAACAAATAGAAATAATGACCGTACTATGTGACCACTGTGAGTGTCCAAAACTACTGATATGTAACATGTTTTGATGGTTTATACTTACATCTTACTTAAAGAATTAAAAGTTAAAGACTATTCCTTATTAGCCTCACTTTACTTTTCTCATTATGTTTAACAGCCATTAAATTATTTATAAAACTTCAAACTTATAATCTTAAAAAACTATCTAAACAAAAAGACAATATATGAAACTATGATACACTCATTAGTTCTATGGCAGTAGTTTCATTTAGTGGCTAATAGGATCAGCTCTGGCATCAGAAATAGAGTGATATACTCACCTCTTAGTAGGTAGATAACTTCAAACTTCTATGCAATGTTTAAAGTGATTTGTGTACCTACTTCAAGGCTGCAATTAGGATTAAAGAAATATTGAATATAATACTGTACATGCATCATTTTGTTAGGATTATTTACAAATATTTGAACAATGATGATTATGATTATGACAAAATAGAAAAAAGAATGAGAAGTGATGTGCTTTGATAAGTTACAATAGAAAGAAGAAACATAAAAGTCTCTTTCCAAGGATTAGGATAGTTTTTTAGAGGTCCCATGAGTGAAAAACTCTCTTTGTGATTTAGGCCCTCTTGGCTCTAGACCTTACATTGCTGCTGCTTAACAATGGGTCTTCAAACACCTGACTCTATCTATTCAGGCTCCCATTCACAGTTCTGTTCAATGGACAGGTCAGATGCTATCTTTAATCTCCTTGGCATCTAAGGTGGACATCCATTTAGGAAACAAATTTCTGAAACACTCCCCAATATTTGAGTATTTGGGTATTTAGTTGTTCATTTAACGCTTCCCGCCCCCAAAAAGGGATTCTGTACATATAACTTTCCATAGGAGATATGACCAAGCTGCCTATCTGAAAGAATCCCCACAGGACAGGGCAGCCTTCCTGCTCCCCTGAACACATGCTTGGTGAATGAAACGCAAACAAAACTTGAATTTCAGTTAGTCTTTAATATAACTCTAATTCTTTAACAGTAAACTAAGATGTAAGTATAAAACATCAAAACCTGTTACATATCAGTAGTTTTGAACACTCACAGTGGTCACAATGTAGGAACTGAGG